GCTCTCTATCTCTCTCCCTTCCTCTCTGTAAAAAATCAATAAAATAAAATAAAAAAGAATGCAAACAGAAGGCTCAGGTAAGGAGAGAGGATAGGTTCAATCCCCGGTCAGTGCACATACAACAATCAACCAATGAATGCATAAGTAAATGGAACAACAAAATTGATGTCTTTCTTTCTCCTACTTCCTCTCTATTAAAAACATCAATTTTTTAAAAAAGACAAGAGAATTAAGCAGAACACCTTGATCACTGTCTCAAAACAACCTAATTGTGGTCTGGATAAGAAGAAAACAGTATCATTTTCCACTTATATCTGTGTACTTATTCTTCAAAATGCTTCCACTGATTAGATAGGCCTAGATGAAATTACAAAGAGAGCTGGTCCTTGCCTTTGATCTCCCTTTAAAAAAATGTTTTTCTTGATTTCAGAGTGAGGGAGAGGGAGAGATAGAAACACCGATAAGAGGGAACATCAATCAGCTGCCTCCTGCACGCCCTCTACTGGGATGGAGCCCCCAACCCTGCATGGAACCATCCCTGCATGGCATGTGCACCAAACACATGGGGGCCATGCACAACCAACTGAGCCACACCAGCTGCGCTTAGCCTCCCATTTTGACCAGTTCATTTTCACTGTCTTTGCATAAATTACAGGCTTACCATTCTTTAAGTCTTTGTATTGCAATATTTAGTCAGGGTACACTAGATATTTGTGCACGATACCTGCATCCCAACATCAAATCCATTGTATTTAAGTCCTTCTATGCAAATGGAAAGAATGACTTTTTCCCCCAAAAAAAACTTACTTACATGGAAAACAAACAAGCAGTCAATATGTCAACAATAAATAGAGCAATACAAAAATATTTCTAAAACGTGTCCATGGCACAGATCAAATTCAACACCATCATTCAAAAACATCCAAAGCACATGCTGGTATGGTGAGTTAGTAGTACAACATTAAAAGAACTTTACTATTTTCAATTGTAAGTATTAATACTTTGAGCAATTTTAAATTTAAATAAGTTAGGGTTATACTCTTGTATGGTGTATGTATAGGGAACTTTATAAGAGGCACAACCTTAGTGCTCAGTCACAGCAGCTCTAACAACAACTTTTATTAAATTTGAGATTAGTTATCTACAGTTTACACAGTTGTAAAACAGCTTTCTTAGAATCAGATAATGCAAGGGGTGTGATCTAGATGGCAGGTAGCCTACGAAGTTTTCTACTGAAGCACAGGTTAGCTTTCATTGTCCTCAGCTATAGACATCAGGATTCATTTCTGAACATTTCTAGGAAACCCAACTATACAGGCGAATAGAACTGCAAGCGCACCTAAGCCTCAGTGGCCCAGCGAGGGGGCGTCAGCTCAGGTCACTTCCCCCTCCAGCGGCCAGGGAGCGGAAACACGAAGCCGGACCAATGTCACTCCGGGGACTGCGGGGATCCAGACCATTCGGCACGGAACGGGGATTCTGACCATTCGGCCAGTCCACCAGGGCAACCTATAGATCCCATTCTGGGACTATCACCAGCAGGGCTCCCGCACGCAGGGCACGCGCCTCCCCCGTGACCACAGCATCACGATCCCCGTGCCCGGGTCTGCATACCTCCTCTCTCCTCCTGGGTAAGCCGTCCCCGACGGCGCATCGGGAAAGAGAAACCCAGCAGCGGGGAAGGATCCTTCTCCCAGAGAACCCACAGAACTGACCCTCTGCCCGCACACCCCGCCGGGGTGAGTCCAGCGCGCCCCTACCGCGCCCCCGGCCCGCTCCGCCCGCCTCCCCTCCCGGCCTCTGCACCCCCCATTCACCTCACTCCCGCGATCCCATCCGGGCGGCAGGCGGGGCGGGTTACACTCCTCATAGAAAGCCGCCGATCGGCATTCCGGACCACTCTTCCCGGAGCTGGAAGGCCGAGGCGATCAAAGTCCCTGGAAGCCGGAGTGATCAGCTGCAGAGGCTCGGGGCTGCGAAACACCGACTTCCGTTCCCGGCCGGCGCTGGCCAATCAGAGCCCGGTTCTTACGTCATTTCCGGCTACAGAGGCCGGAGGACCGGAAGGGGCGGGTCCAGAGCGCCCGGAGCCTCGTGGGAAGCTGCGGTGAGGACTCAGGCGGCTGAGGTGAGTACCCTCGGGGTGCTCCGCTCCCCAACTCCGTTTCCCGGCTGAGACCTGCGGGGTTGCCCGCAGCAGCCGAGGCGGGAGGGGGTTGGGGCCGGCCGCTGGGGTGGAGGGACGCCTGGGCGGAGGCCGCGCGCGTACGTACCCCCCGGGCCGGCGCGTGCAGCCCCGGCTCGCCCGAGGTCTCCATGGCGGCGCGGCCGGTGTGCGGATTCCTCTCACCTTCTCCAGACGGAAGGCTCGGTTCGGGGACGCCCCAGCCCTTCCGTGCAGCATGGCAGCAACGTGTTTGGGGCGCGGGAGGGCGGCGATGAGACCGGCGAGGGCGCCTAGTTGAGTGGAAGACGGTCAAGCATGGATGGAGGCTGCGGGAAAGGCCGTGGGAATTGGACCAGCCCCGGAGGGAGTGGGCCTCCGAGGACACCGCCATTCGGATAGGCAGAGGGGGCAGTGCTCGTTGTGGCAGGTGACCGGAAGGCCAGGTGGCAGGACGCGGAAGGGAACCTGAGCGAGCACCTGTGAGGCATGAAGAGGGGCGGATTTAGGATGAGTTCTTGGGAACAACGGCACACCATTTAGTCTTTTCAAGGGCTTTGGGGTCGGGGCAGCGAAAAAATCAGGCTGGTGGTAGTAGTACGACGACTTTGGAATGAAAAAGATTTTCCTAAAAATGCAGGCGGGGGTGCTGGATGGGCAATAGGTACCGGAGCTCAGGGATAAAAAGGCTGGAAGCGGAAGTAGGGGGTGGTTGGGGGGTAAGGGTTCTCCCTCAGAGACGGTCGGCGAGGTGGGAGTTTCCGACACACGCGGGCAGGGGCCCTGAGAAGCTTGGTGGTTAACGAGACATGCTGGCGTGAGCCTGGATTGAATGTGGCTCTGGCATTTAAGACGCGCTCTGTGTTGCCAAAACTGGTTTGGCTCAGTGGACAGAGCGTCGGCCTGGGGACTGAAAGGTCCCAGGTGGGCATGTATCTTGGTTGCGGGCACATCCCCAGTAGGGGGTGTGCAGGAGGCAGCTGATGGATGATTCTCTCTCATCGATGTTTCTAACTCTCTATCCCTCTCTCTTCCTCTCTGTGAAAAGTCAATAAAATATTTTTTAAAAATAAAATAAAACGCGCTCTGTGGCTGTGGCCTAGCCGTTTCCCATCCCCGCCTGGTTTCCTTGGCCTGTAAAATTGCAAATAACAGCAGTCCCTGCCTTGGAAGGTTATGGTGAAGAATTATTTTACATTGATGTTTACAACATGCGAGGTGCTCTACGTGCTTTAAGTATATTAAAAAACTGAAGTGACTCAGTTGCTGTATGTTACTAGACAATTGTATACAATTTCTTCGGTTAGATACATAACTAGTCATCATGCACATATGGTCCCTACTTGGGATTTTTCTATTTCACGATAGTGGGAAAAGGGGGGTATGCTTTCCATGCAAACTGCACTTTGAATTTTGATCTTTTCCCAGACCCACTCTGTGCAGCAGGATGCTCTTTGAGCTGGGCAGTAAGCCCCAGCTCCCCATCAGCCACGCAATCACAAGAGCAAACCGCCCATACTCTCCATAGAGTGTGTTAGATGATGGTGCTCACGTATAGGCTGAGCTGTGATGCTGTGATGCTCTGTAGGTTGGGTGTATTAACTGCGTTTCGATGAGCAGTAATACAGTGGGTTTATTGGGAAGGCCTTCCCACCCACCGTAAGTCATGAAGCTGCTATAGTAAACACCTGTTGGCTGCTATAATATTTTTTATTAATGAGCCAAAGGTTACTACAAGATTTTGAGCCTGAATGGCTAGGAGATTTGTGTGTCTTAAAGTCAGAAGAAGAAAAAAATATAACAAGGGGTCGGGAAGCAAAGTAGGTATGTTTTTAGACATCTTAAACGTGATGCTGCAATATATTCTAACGGGGATGTCTAATCAGTTTTCACGGATGTGGACAGGGCTGGAAACAAAGATGTGGCAGTCCCTTTGCGGAGACTGTCTCTGTGACGTCTCCGAGGAAAACACTGGAAAGAATTGGGAGATGGCCAAGGACTAGCATGAGGAACAACATGTTAAGGAATAAGATGAATCGGGGAGGTGTTGATAAATGGCGCAGGTTAAGGGCATTATCACCACGGGAATATTATCTTTCCTTGATTTTTAACTGGTTTTACGGTGGTTACTGTGCTAAGAAAAATGGGCCAGTGAGTGGTTACTGTGTTTTTAAGTGCACAAGTGTTTGGGGGCTTAGTACTTTTCAGGTTACCATGTCAAGGACACGTGGGCTTGGCTTGTTACTTCCTTCATGTGTTGTCTCTTATCCATAACCAGTGTTTTCAGTGAACTTGACTTAGTGTGGGAACTGAACTATGGCATCTTTCAAAAAGAGTGTGCCACGTTGCTGTGCCATTTTTCTGTGCCAAGGGGAGGGGGCGACCCTGACTGTACTAGAGTAGGTCTCAAACGAGGAACTCAGCAGCAGCACTTGGGAACTTGTTAGAAATGAAAAGTCTTGGGAAGAGGAGGTGGTGTGGGTCCCTGCCATCTGTTCTACTGAGCCCCAGGTGAGCGGGGTGCTTATGGCGATTGAGAATCACTGTGCTAAAGGTAATTGCTGTGAGGTCAGGGAGTTTGTTGACCTAGCACCGTGGTCGGCAAACTGCAGCCCTCGAGTCACATGCGGCTCTTTGGCCCCTTGAGTGTGGCTCTTCCACAAAATACCACAGCCTGGGCTAGTGTATTTTGAAGAAGTGGCGTTAGAAGAAGTCTAAGTTTAAAAAATTTTGGCTCTAAAAAGAAATTTCAGTCATTGTACTGTTGCTTTTTGGCTCTGTTTACTAATGAGTTTGCCGACCACTGACCTAGCATATACAGCAGTACCTTTCTAATCAGTAAGTTTACAATAAATGTTTGTTGATAAATATTTTCAGTCCCAGGCTCTCGGTCTTGGTGTAAAAACTTAAGAGGGTGATTAAATGGACAGAAACTAATTTAGCGACATTGAGGCCATACGTCAGATATTTGTGAGAGGGCATGACAATGTGAGCAGTTTGCAACTTGATAAATGAGGGATTGATTACATGTTGAATCATCGATGAGTAAAAAAGTAAGATGTCCAGGTATTTTATGCCTTGAATTATTGTATAAGTTAACCACATGATGAACAATTGGTGTTTGCCAGCCTAACAGAACAACATACCCAAAGGACTGAGTTCTCTCCTCTTGCCCGTGCAGCTGCCTCACCTGCGGTTTCAGAGCTTCCAACATGGGGCTCACCAAGCAGTACCTTCGCTATGTTGCCAGCGCAGTCTTTGGCCTCATTGGCAGCCAGAAAGGCAATGTTGTCTTTGTGACGCTTCGTGGGGAAAAGGGCCGTTACGTGGCAGTGCCAGCCTGTGAGCACGTTTTCATCTGGGACTTGCGAAAAGGAGAGAAGGTAAGCCAGAAATCGCCTGGGTCAGTGTTGACACACGGGTATTTGAGGATGGAGAGGCAGAAGCAGGAGAGCTCAGATTTCTCGTGCCCAGATTTTGAATGTGTGTGCCCCTAGAAGGGAAATCTTTTCTCTTTGGTTCTAGATAGCCAGGTATCAGGAGCCTACCTCTTTGGAATCTATTTATAGCGATACTTAAGGTAAGTATTTGTAATCATTATTCCCTACATGTGTGTGTTTCTCTGCTTTACCACTTCTCTGTCAGGTTCTTCTATTTGTCCTCACAGCCAGTTAAAATGGAGGCATTTAAAAGGAATAGTTCTCTGCTGTGTTGACTGAATCTTTTTCTTACTTATTCAGCTGAGGTTGTCAAACTAGGCTTTGATACTTTGTGTAACTCTAAATACATAAGCCTACCACTGCTACCAAAACAAACACAGGCCTTTTGATCTTGCCCACTCACTGTCTTCCAAGAAGTTAATACGTGGATACTGGTTGCTGCGCAGGTTTGCTGCTGGGTAACCACCATAGCACTCTGGTGCCACCTAGGTTGGTTTCTTAGAAGATGGGGCTGTGTGAAGCTGAGGATGTGTTCACAGCCCTTTATGGAAAACCACTTCACGACATGGGATAAGAACTTAGTTATTCATACCATTGCCTGGCAAATTTCTGCATGTATTACACTAATGTAGAGCTTTGGAGAAAATAATTTTGCCTTTTCTTGAATGTTTCATTGCCCAGTACTAATAATAATTCCTATATTTAAAAAGTTGAGATGGATACCAGTTTCATTATTATTTGTAAGACTGATCTGAAGTTTCTGGTGCTCTTAATTTTATGGTGCTTGATTAATCCCACTCTTTCCTTAATGACATGCTTACTTCCTCTTATTTTTATTGTTTTGATTTCAGATCCTTATCCTTCAGGGGCTTAAACAAGAAGTCACTTGCTTGTGCCCCTCCCCAGATGGGCTGCACTTAGCTGTTGGTTATGAGGATGGGTCTATTCGAATCTTCAGTCTCCTGAGTGGGGAAGGAAATGTAACCTTCAATGGACACAAAGCAGCCATCACTTCCTTGAAGTATGATCAGCTGGGAGGCAGGCTGGCATCTGGGTCCAAGGTGAGACCTTGAATAGGTGCCCTGACTTTGATCTAGTAAAGGACTGTAACCCTAAGCTTAAGCAGGATGTACACAAAAATTGTTGGATGAAAAATGGGCACATCGTGTACACAACAGTATAAGTGATAGAAACAGAGCAAGAAGAATGGGTCTGAATGGGGAGGTTCCTTTTGTTTTCTGTCATAGTCTTGATTAGAGCCCATTAGCTATAGGAACAAAATGTGTTCGCCCCTGGTAACTGCTATATAACATCATTGTGGGAGTGCTACCCAAAATAGTACGTGAGGGCAGAGACAAAATGGTTATCGTTGCCATTGAGTTTAGTAAAGTTGGTAGCTTTCTTATATCTCAAAGTTAGAAAATGTAAAAGATTCCATTTACAATGGTTTATTAAGTAACAGCCAGAAAAATACTATGAAGCTTGACTAAAGAAAGTAACAGAAGATTTGAATAGACACACAAACCATGTGCTTAAATAAAAAGACAGTATTAAAAAGATGCTAGTGTTTTCTAATTAATTTGTATAGTAAAAGCAATTTAAATAAGTATCCCAATGGGTTTTGTTGTTGTTAGAACATGATCAAATAATTTTAAAACATTTATGGAAAAAACAAATGAATCATAAACTCTAGAATTTGGGGAAAGAAGACTAATAAAAGAGAGTTTCAGTTTTGTGGCTTTTTTTTTTTCAGGATTAGATTTTTTTTTTAAGAGGTTTCAGATATTAAAATGCACTGTGAAGTCATAATTGAAAACATTAATCTCATATTAGTACAAAATAGGTAATTATTACAACTTAATGAGAGTTCCAGAAACAAATTACTTTCTTATTCCTAATGAGTATATTTTGGAGATGATATTTCTGAGTAGTAGAAAATAATGGGTGACTTATAAAATGGTATTTAGACAATTGGCTAACTACGTGGAGGGGTATATAATAAAAATTTGTAAAAAAAAATGTTGCATCCTATTAGGCCTTTATATGATAAAAGAAGGTTCTGTATTATTTGATCCCTTTAGGACACAGATATTATTGTGTGGGACGTGATCAATGAAAGCGGCCTCTACCGTCTAAAGGGGCACAAGGACGCCATCACACAAGCTTTGTTCCTACGAGAAAAGAACCTGCTAGTCAGCAGGTAAAGAAAAAGTTTCACTTCCAGTTCTTCTCTAGGTGGAGGGTTTTAAAGAGGCAATTTGCTTCATTGCTTACTCATTTCTTCACCCTACACTCAAGCTCATGTTCTAGTTTCCTCTGTTTTCTCTGCTTTCCTTTCTTCTCCCCTCCCCTCTCAGACAGTATCATAGAAGCTATCTGAAGTTACTCAAAGTATTTTTAAATTCTACTTTCTGATACCAGCTTTTCCATGTTCCTTAACCTCTTTGATGTGCCTTCTATAGTATGAGCTGTGCACTTTCTGGATCCTCAGAAAGTCAGGAAATCACAATATGGAGCAGTGGGCAGAGGTGAATACTAAGTATTTGGTTTAGCCCAGTGGTCACCAATCTTTCAGACCTCGCAGACCACCAGTTGGAAACTGCTGCTCCAAAGGTTTCCTTAAACCATCAATCACCAACCTTTAGGACCTCATGGACCACCAGTGATCCACGGACCACTGGTTGGCGATCGCTTGTTTAGCCTGTCAAGAAGAGACGTGCTCCGTATTTAGGCCTTCTGACATCTAGGTCTAACCATTTGAAATTTCCATTTGTGTAGGTCAAAAATGATTGGTCAGATATCAGCAATTGTATAGGGTTAGCCTAATGTAACAGTTATCATTCCTGAGGAATGGCCACCCAGGGAAGTTTGCGGTCCTGAGATTTGCCAGGCAGTAGCTAGAAGAGCCATAGGAACGACTCGGGAATTTATGAAGGAGCACGCATGCTAGGCCACTGTGGGGTGGGTGGAACACCAGTGTGTCCTGTTCAGATAATAGATTCCATGAGAGCAGGAATGACTGCAATTCTACTGGAATATGCACATTATAGTTTAGGGGAATTAAAGGAAGTGGGATTTTGTAGGAAAGACTTTGTAAATAGGATTTTTGTTTTTCCCCACTTTAGTCATGAAAGGGGATTTAATTAGATTTGTATCAGTGAGGGAGCAGGACAGACTAGAGCCTATTGGCAGGGAATTTTAGAGCCAGATGATGGGAGGTTTGAGAAGGGTGCTGATGAAGAGCCTGATTTTGAGTCTGGTGTGAACTTAAAAAATTGAGATTATTGGACAGAAGTACAATATATTGGATGTGACAAGGGAACAGGAAAGGGCAGAGCAGCCAGACGAAGAGCTGTTAAAATAATCCAGGCAGTATGCCTTAAATACAGAAATGGATTTGAAGAAATCAAGGCTTACCGACTGCACCGAGGCGGCATTTTCAGGATGTAGAGAAAAATGACATGGGAGCCTAGGGAGCAGGGAGATCTAAGAAGTTTCTGTTACAGTGTGTGAGAATGTTCCTGCTGTGATGATAAACACGATGGGCTTACAGATGAAACTTACCATCATTACTGATTTTAGAGAGAAGCCAATCGGTTGCCTCCCCCATGTGCCCTGACCGGGAATCGAACCCGACACCTTTTGGTGCATGAAACGAAGCACCAACCAATTGAGCCATACCATATCTAGAAATATTCCATGGATAGCTCAGATTCTTTTTAAAAGAAAGTCGGGTAGAGTAGCAGTGTTAGACATACGTTATCTGTTTAAGGTTTCAAATGAGACAGACCTTGGTCTCCGTGTTAGTTTCAAGATTCTTCTTAATATTTTTTCCTGTTTCTTCTTTTAGTGGGAAAGATACCGTGGTGAAATGGTGGGACCTTGATACCCAGCACTGCTTCAAAACGATGGTTGGCCACCGAACTGAGGTAAATGTGGGCTCCCAGGCCCAGGGAAGAATTGGGGGCAACAGGAAAGGTTGGTTTTCTCCCCCTCTCAGCAGCAGTAATCATCCACTGTTACCTAGACAGTCTGTGATTGGGGAGGTGCCAACCATCAGCAGATACTGGCATTTACTTAAAATTGGCTTTGGATACATTTCAACCCATGAATATGAGTTGTTGTTTTTTTGTTTTGTTTGTGTGTGTGTGTTTAATCCTCACCTAAGGATATGTTTTATTGCTTTTTAGAGAAAGAAGGAGGGAGGGAGGGAGCTGAGTTGCTCCTGTACATGCCCTAACTGGGGAACAAATTTCCAACCTAGATATGTGCTCTAAAGGGGAATCAAACTTGCAACCCTTTGGTGCACCAACTGAGCCACCTGGCCAGGGCTAGTTTCATCATTTTTAAATAGTAAGCGTCCACCTTTATGATTGTAGCGAGGTTTAATGACACTATGTATACAGTACCTGGCCCAGTGACATGTGAATAGCAAATTGTAGTCATTATAAAAGTTACCTGAACTTAGATCGCCTCAATAGAGATCAGGGAATATTACACATCTTTGCATCCTACTTTGTTTAAACCAGGCTTTCAAAAGTATATATCTGGAGTAAATGAGGAAGCATGAGTTAAATCTCCGGTTATTGATTTGCAATAGTACTGCTATTTTTATTGTTTAGTTCTTAGGTATTTGAAGCGGAATATTATGCAGCAGATATGAATGGAGCTTTTATTTGCGAGGCAAGGAAATATTAGACTTAAAAATCTTCATTTGAATTGACTCTTGTTAGGATTTACGTTGAACACCGTTCTCTAAATTTAAGGGTAGCAAATTGCAGAGAAAAGTCAAGTTATCAGACAACAGTTCTGCCATAGGCCATTTTTTCTTTCTAACAGTGGAATTTCTCACAATCCATGTTAACAGAATTACCTTAATATTAGACTTTGCAAATGCCAAAGTAAAGTCACTGCAGTGTACTAAAGCTTTTGGAGTGTCATGTCATACAGCCTGGGGTCTTAAAAGTTGTACTATTGGAGTCTCTTTATACTCTGTAGGTGTGGGGATTGGTTCTGGTGTCAGAAGAAAAGCGACTCATCACGGGGGCTGCGGACAGTGAGCTGAGGGCCTGGGACATAGCCTACCTGCAAGAGGTAATTCCTTTTCTGATCATGTGCCTGTCGTGTTTCACCAGTGTTAGGGGCTCATTGGCTTTAGAATCGGATGTAATTACCGAGTGCTTCACACAGAGTCACGTAGCACTAAAGGAATGCTGTCACATTGATAACCTGCAACTTCTAAACAAGTTTTTCTTCATTCTGTGCTCCATCGCCCTCATGGGTTCGGGCTTGGAAGGATAGCTTTAGGCGTCTAGCTTCTGATCATGCTAATGTTTTAGTTTGTGGGATTCTTAGCCTAATATCCCTGGACCTTCAGTGTCCATGGATGGACTTGAGAATATCAGTGACTCTTTCCCCTCAAACAAAAGTCTAAAGTGTGTGTGTTTCTAAATACATATATTCTGTGATCTATAACTTTATCTCAGATCCTTAAAGATTTTGTGAGGGAAAGGTTCTGTTTTGTTTGTTTTTTTGTTTTTGTTTTTTAATATAGTTTTATTTATTTCAGAGAGGAAGGAAGAGGGGGAGAGAGAGAGGGGAAAAAAAATCAATGATGAGAGAGAATCACTGATTGGCTGCCTCCTGCACACCCATTACTGGGACCTAGCCTGCAACCCAGTCATGTGCCCTTGACTGGAATCGAACCCAGACTGACACTCTATCCACTGAGCCAAACCAGCCAGGGCTGGACATTAAGTTTAGCTGGAGTTTGGTGTGTGGTGTGTCCAGCAGCCACTTTGATAGGTTCTACATCAGTAGGCGAGGGCTTTTCTTTATTTAAGGGGAAAGTATAACCTCTCTTGCAATGCTTTTGCAATTCTTAATGCCAGTTTGAATCTTTCCCTCTAGAATACCTTTTACCTAAGAAGGTTTTAATGTTAATGAAGAGTCAATTATTATTTTGTCACCTTGTTACTAAGTAATAGTTTTTATACTCTGGAAGTTACTAGAGATAGGATAGCCAATAAGGTTTTGTATGCATTTGTTACAGTCAGTCTTTAATATATCCTAATAAATGTCCTTCCACTGAAGAGGATTGATTAGAGAGATCACTGAGTGGAGGGTACTAGTGTCCATGAGGTTCCTAAGTCATTAGGGTTAAGAGTCATTTCCTAGAATACATTATTTCATATTTTCCATTTTTGTAAAACAGATTCAAGATCTAGAAGAACCAGAGCCCAAGAAAATCAAGGGGTCGTCCCCTGAAGTACAGGACACACATGAAGCCGAGAATGGTGCCCTCGAGGTTGACGAGGCTCCTGAGGATGTAAGGCATTCCTGTTTCTCATCTCTAATTGAGCTGAGTGGTGGGGAAAGTGAAAATTGTTATTCAATTTGTAATTCTCAGCATTGTTGTAGGGAATGACTTTGTTATCTGCGTTTCTTAGTCGTCTTTTCAGAGGTTAACCTTCCTCTTCCTTGTTGCTCCTTCTGCAGCGCATCCTCACCTGCAGAAAAGCTGGCTCCATCCTGCGGGAAGGAAGGGACAGAGTTGTGAACCTCTCGACCGACAAAACAGGCAGAATGCTTGCTTGCCATGTGAGTTCCAGTCTCAGGAGGAAGTAACAAGGACTAGGCATTCCTTTCAGAAACCTGTTCTTTCATAGTCCGTGTGGAGATGAATTTTTCTTTGGTCTGCAAAAACTCATGATGATACTGTGTGGACTTGTAATCCCGAGCTTCTGTCAGCCACCACATTAATAATGGCTGTTATGTTCTTACAAGCAACCATGATTACATGCTTGCTTTCTTAAGCAGTCTCACAGCATTAGCTCTTACTTAGTCTTCAGAGCAGTGCTCTGAGTAGGAGGTGGTGTTCCCCCTTCACAGATGAGACAGAGAACCCAGAGAGATTGAGTTGTCCAAAGTGATACAACTAGTAAGGGAAGAAAAGGAAACGGTTTTAGTTTTTACTGAGAAAAAGCTAGCTGACAAGTTGCCCATCCTGAACTCAGTCAGCCTTTTGTCTTTCTAGGGAACTGACTCTGTGCTGGAAGTGTTCTGCATCCTTTCCAGGGAAGAGATTCAGAAGAAAATGGATAAGAAGATGAAGAAGGCCAGAAAGAAAGCCAGGTGTGTTTCCTTAAATACTAATAGTCAGGTATCCTGGGTGGGCCCATGTAGTAGCCATAGAAAGACTGGGTTAAGGAAATATTTACTCTATTTCCAGTCACTGTTAAAAGCTAGATGTTGAGGCATGCTGGTAGCCCAAGTTTACATTTCTCCTCTTTCGTACAGCTTTTTAACTGTTGAATTCCATTCTTGAAGTCAGCCACACAGAGCTAGTCAGATTTTTAAAAAACACTTCTAAATGCCTTAAATTCCCAGAGGGCAGCCCTGTGTCTTCAATGACAGCAGCCTGTACAGAAGGAGGCGGGTTGCATGATGCTCCCCTGTGGGACTGTGAGAAGGAAGTCTGGCTGGACAGTCATGTAACTGAAATATGGAGGCTGCATAACCCTGAAATAGGACAATATAGTCATAGAAATTGGTTCCTGAATGGTTGAAACTTACCACATCTCAAAGAAATACAAAGTCATCTGACTTGGCAACTCTTTTGAGATCTCTGATTTATCTGATGTGATTGGATTGAATTTTTTAAAAATCCAGGTTAATGGAGTTTCTAAAATGTCCTGAAAAATTTTACCAGAAACATTTTAGTAGAATAGTTCAAGTAACAGAGGTTTGTCCTAGGAAATTGTATGGGCTCTTGCATTCAGAGCTCTCTGCCCCCGTTTTTTAAAAATACAATTTTACTGATTTCAGAGAGGAAGGGAGAGTAAGATAGAAACATCAGTGATGAGAATCATTGACTGGCTGCCTCCTACACGCCCCCCAACTGGGAATCAAACTTGTAACCCGGGCATGTGCCCTTGACCGGAATCAAACCCAGACCCTTTAGCCCGCATGCTGATGCTCTATCCGCTGAGCCAAACCAGCTCGGGCGAGCCCATGGTTTGAGAGAACCCCTTAAATGCAGTAATACCTTACATTTGTGACACTGCAGTGCACAGAGCTTTTCTCCATCCACTACGTTTGTCGTCCTCACAGTCATCCTGTATGGTTCTGTGCCTGTCCCAGATCACACAGGCTGTGAGTCTCAGAGCCAGACTGACTCACCTAGTAGCAAAGCTGCTGGAAAAGTGGTAGCATGACTTTGTTTCCCTCTAGATTAAACTCTGGCAAAGGGGAGGAGGAAGACCTGGAAGTCAGTGTTGAAATGACTCTGCAAGATGAAATCCAGCGGGTGGCAAACATCAAAACATCTGCCAAAATCAAGTGAGTGCGCATGCAGTGTGTGAAGTATCTGAGGGTTGTAGCAACAGTGAATAGTAGCATTGTATTGCTTGGTCACACTATTTGTAAGCAGACTGTACGAATTGTGTATATAGAGACAGTGATCATGGGATGCCTGTGTCACTCTTAGCTCCCGCTCCCTCATAGTGGACACACTTTCTCGTCATGTCATATTAGTTTTACCTTTTATCTATTTGATTACTATTCTTTTCTGCTGCCAGTTTAAAAGAAAGATTTATCCCTCATATGCCGAAAGGATTTAAGGTCACTTACAAAAGATACAAAAGAACAACATATATGCCAGGTCCAGTGATTAAGCCCAGATTTCTTAACAGCCTATATGCAACTATTATACAATAGTATCCAATACTCAGACTTCTCTCACATCTAAAATTCTTTACACTTGTTCACACTCATATAGATTGAGGACATTTCAAAGCCTTTGTCCTAGAAAAAAATTAACTGTGGGAGCTGAGACGTTTACGAATATTTCCACATGCAGATCCTTTGACCTGATCCTCTCACCGCAAGGAGAGTTAAAGGCTGTCTTCCTGCTGCAGAACAACTTGGTGGAATTGTATTCACTGAGCCCGTCAGCGCCTGCCCCTCAGCCTGTGAGGACGAGCAGGGTCACCCTCGGGGGCCATCGCAGTGACGTGCGGACTTTGTCCTTCAGCTCCGACAATATCGCTGTCCTCTCCGCGGCAGCCGACTCCATTAAGATTTGGAACAGGTTTGTGAAGTGATTTTTCAGTAGCTTTATCCAGCAGTGTTTTCTTCCCTTTGAATAGTTCTTAATACTCTTCATGGTTAGTTATTACAATAGTTTCTTAAGGCCTTAAAGAAAGTTCCATCCAAATGTATCTTCAGTGTTTTCTGCGTGTATGTCTGTGGGATTTAGGAAAAGTTGCCTTTCTGTTTCTTGCAAAAAAATTCAAACTTGTTCCATGTATGAAGCTTGTAGCTGAACTTGGCTGCAGAGAAACAAACATACTGCCTACTTGTCGTTACCGGATAGCACGAAGAGCCTATCTGAATTTAACAAGTAGGCAGTATGCTTGGGCTTCACTCCTCACTTTGCTAGGTGACTCGTTCACACCTTCTGTTCTCGAGCACCTTTATGTTGGTGACCTTGCTTCCTACTTCACTGGAAAAGTGGAAACTTCTAGAAAACATTCATTTGCTCTCATTACACCTACCACATAGCTGTATCTATCTCCACACAACCTGTCCTTCCTCACAGTGCTGTGTTGGGGCTTCTAACAAAATTAATCATCATTTGTGTGTGAATTTCTCATCTCCTTTCCAGTAGTTTTCCTCCTCCTGTGTCATCAGTTTCCCTTTCCATCAGCCATTTCATCAGCATATAGATGGGCTGTACTATCTCCCATCTTAAAAGAAGTAATAACCCTGTCTCATCCTCCTCCTCCTCTCCATTCAGTTCCCCGTCTGATTTCTCTCTATGCTGTTTGCATTTGTCTCCATGAGAATTTACCCTCACATGCCACCACATCAGACATCTTGTTTCCACACCCAGTGACCTGTGAGCTGCATTTGACACTCTCCTGGAATTGAGCACTTTTTCCTCTTTAAAACACTTTCTTTGATTTTACTTCCTCTTCTGGCTGGTTTTTTTTTTTTTTTTTTTTTTTTCTTCCTTTTTTTTCCCTGAGTCTTTCCTGGATCCATCCTACCTTTTGTGTTGGAATGCTTCATGGGGGAGTCTTTGTGTCCTCTCACTCTATGTGACCTCTAGTCACAACTTTCTCTGTGCTGGTGACACAGAAGTTTATATTTCTAGCGTTAGCCTCTCCCTCCCCATCAGGTCCATTTATCCAAATGCTTTGCTTGTGTCACCACTTGGATGTCTAGTAAGCATCTCAAATTTTTACGTGTCACGAACCAGACTTGTAATCTTCATTTCTTCAACAATTTTCCTACCCGCTTCTTACAGACTTCCCCATCTTAATACATAATCACTTCCTTCCAGTTGTTCTGGCCCCAAATCCTTGTAGCCATTCTTGATTCTCTCTCATATCCCATGTCCAGTTCATTAGCAAATCCTTTACCTTCAAAATGTTCCCAAATCCAGCCACCTCATCCCCTGCCATGCCTGCACCCAATTCACACCACCATCATCTCTCTGGACTGTTGAAATAGCTTCCTGACTGGTCCTTCCATAGTCCATTCTCAACACAGCAGCCACGGCAGTCGTAGTGGGAGTTATGTCACTTCCAATAGCTCCATCTCACTCCAACCTGAAGCCAAAGCCCTTCCAGACCTCATCTCTCACTGCTGCCCATCTGCTCCCCTGGAGCCTCACTGGCCTTATTCTCCCTTCAACACAAGAACATGCCTGTGTCATGGCTTCTGTGCTCCCTGTTCTTTCTGCCTGGAACCACCTTCCCCTGTTCTCTAGGCTCTCTCCGTCTTCTCATCAAAGGGCCTTCCTGCTACCCTCCCCTACCCTTGCACACATACTCCCCCACAGCTTTGTGTTTCTCCATAGCACCTGCTACCACCTGTTAGACCAACGTTTATCTGTCTCATTCCTAAAGAATGCTAAGCTTCATGAGAGCCTGACGCTCAGTAAATGTTTGATGAGTGAAGTGGGCATTTGATAGACATTTGTTGAATGGATGCATGTTTATGTAAGGATAGATAGAAAGCTAATTTGTCTTGCAATCCTGAGCTCACTTCCGTGTAGTGGCAGGTGGGGTCTCTGAGCCAGCAGGTGCTTTTTCTGCCTGCTGTTGTCTGATCTCTGCTCCTCAAGACGAGGGGGCTCCTGCAGTGAAAATAAGCTTTTCTCCCTTGACTGCAATTGGGTCTGAGCCAAGGGTTCTTCAGGCTTTGTCCTCTCTCACGTTGATTGCTTTGTATGGCTAAGTGTGCATTGAACACACACTCTGACCTCTAAGGTGGGAGGCGGGTTCTCTTCACAGACTATTTATGTTATGTTCCATCTTCTTTCTCACAGGTCTACACTGCAGTGTATCCGCACAATGACCTGCGAATACGCGCTTTGCTCATTCTTTGTACCTGGTGATAGGCAGGTGGTCATCGGAACAAAGGTAAATCGAGATTTTTTTTTTTCTTCTTGGATTTTGATATCTATCCTACTCGATATTCTTAAAGGCATTTGAGAAACACGGCTTCTTTATTAGCATAGTGGAAGTGTTTTAGAGCTGGATAACATGAGGGTGTTCACTATTCCTGTATTGTTTTGTTTGTTTCTAAGAAATCAAACTTTATGTCAGTTATGAGGAAGACAAAGTCACAACCCTGAAATAATTGTCACTAACATTTTGGTGATCAGCTTTTGTGCATCTTTTTGAGCAAGTATGTAATTGTGTTTGAGAAGACTAATGATAAATACATTAAGTACTTAGCTTCATGCTTGGAGAGAAACTTCAGTAAAAACCTGACCAAGGCCTCATTCCCAGATACTTATCGGATTGGAGGATACCAGGCGGGAATGAGCAGATGTGGATCTGGAGTCAGAATCTCTCCCTTAAGAAATGAATAATTTGGAGCAAGTCCCATAACTTCTCTTAGAGTTTCCTTATCACTGTAATGGGATAATGAGGCTTGCTTCTGACAGAAGCAATGAATAATTCATCCGCAGATGAACCTCGGTTTGAATCCCACCCAGCCCTTCCACTCATTGGCTATGAGGCCTTTGGAAATAACCTACCTCCCAGCATGCAAAGCACTTAACAGAGAGACTTGCTCACAGTAAGTCTGGTTCGTGACATGTAAAAAATGCTACTAGTAAGAGCTGGTACCTTAAGTAGCAATGATGAGTAGCAGTGAGAATAAATGGAGTAAGATCTATGGAATGTTTTGAAAAGTGCTTTGCAACTATTTGTCATTTTTATCTCAGTAAACCAGGGCTGTGTGTGCATGATTATTTTATTAGAAAACCTGTCTTAACAATGGATATTCTTTGCCCAGCACAAAGTGAAAAATAAGCTGGAGAGATCATGGGGAAAGAACATTAAATTCAATTAAAAGTCTCCCTCATTTTTCATTCTTCTAACAAATATTCATCTGCCATTTGCTGTTGGGAGACCATTTTGCATGTGGCCTTCAAGGCTACCGGTATGACTAAAATACATACTTAGCCTAGCCTCTGTGCTATGCAGATAACATACACTGTCTCATTGAATCCCCACAACAGTGTAGAAAGGTGGGCTTTTACAGATTTACAAAACGGGCCCATAAAGATGACTTCACCAGCAGTCACTGAGTTGGAAAGAGGCAGCCCTGGGACTCCAGTCTCCACCTCATGTTCTTCCCACTGGGCATGCAGAAGCTCAGAGCAGATTTTGCCGCTGTGTGTGGTCTGGGCTAGCACCATGGCCGTGGCTTACACAGGGTCCTAAGCAAGCGTAGCCGGTGTTTTCTAAGCTACTACAATATTTTTAAGGTCCACTGTTCACCCTGGCATGGTAAGTAGATTGTCAGTGTAGGGTAGAGAGGAAACCAAAGCTGGACGGAAAGGCTTGGTTAAGCCAGTTACCACAGATGTAGTCCACTTACAGGACTGGTTAAACTGTAAAGGTTTCCAGGTTTCCATTTGCTGATAGGTTTATTCTGATTTGCCTGCGGCCATGATGTTTAGCTTTTGAAGATGGGGAGCCAATGAAAATGGCAAGAGTACCCTGCCAGGTTTAACTCCACACATCAGCAGGGGTTCATTGCGTTGATTCTGGTAGGAATGCAGAGCATGGGCGTGGAGTCCATTTCCAAGCAGTGGCCACAGTGTAGCTGCTTGGTGGTGGGAGTGCTCCTCAGTGCTGTGCTCTTTTTGCCTCCCCAGACAGGACGGCTGCAGCTGTATGACTTGGCCTCGGGGACCCTGCTGGAGACAGTGGATGCCCATGACGGGGCTCTGTGGTCCATGTCTCTCTCTCCAGACCAGGTAACGTACAGATGATCACATCTGGACTTCAGAACTCTGCCACCTTTCCCATTTCTTCTGTTAGGTTTCACTGCTGCCTGATAGATTTCTCTCAGCGTTTCTTAAAGAAAGCATGTTTTGCCTAATCTTTTGATTTCCTGTGTGATGTCCTATATGTCCTTGTGAAATGAGTCCTTGTTCAGCTGCTCTCAGTCTTCAGTTAGATGGCATCACATTCCTTGCCTTCATGGCTTTCTGCCAGTGGCTTATGATACTTCTTAAGAGGACAGTTCCTTGGGCAGTGCAGTGCAGAGGGTAGAGTAGGCTCTTCTCCCCTTTCAGTCCGTTCTGTGACTGTAAGTCTAGTGTTTGAGCAGGTAAGTTGGCCCTTTCAAGTCATTCACAGAGGTCTTCCTGCAGAGGCGTGCAGTGGCTCAGAACATTGCGAAGTATTATTTGAAAATATCTTAAGAGATTGTGGCCCATTCTTTTGCATATTCTGAATGGTGGTGAACCTTTGTTGAATGTAGACATTTTTTGAGAAAACTGAATCTGGATTTTAGAGTGGATAATGCTGTTGGAGTCAGAATGCAGCAGCATGTAAAGTTTAAATGGTTACACCACCTTGCATTTGTACAGTGGTCTATCTTTTCCAAAATATTTTCACATTCATTATGCAGTTTATTGTTATTTTTGCGATGAGTTTGTAAGCGAGGTGGTCTTTATCACTATGGCAACAGTAAGCATCTCTGTAAAGGTGTTTCCTGTTACAAATCTTTGAATTGGCTGACCAGATTTTAACATATTTTAAGATGAGATATTGTAGGGATACATTTATGCTCTTAGGTGAGTACTGTGAGCAAACTTATTTAGATGATCCTTCTGTTTATCTGTGGAACTGCTTTGCTACTTAATAGCAGATTCCTTACACTCTTGCCTTCTCAGGTGGAGCACAAGCCCCCAACTGCAGCCCCTAAAGAGAGTGAAGGAGTTAGAAACCACATTTAGTTCTTATCTCATGCCATTGAAGACAAATGGTCTTTAAGCTATTGTGATATCTTATCCAGGTGTCTGTGCTAAAATTCTTTTTAATTGGGATGTCATTTGGTTTTCAGCGTGGCTTTGTGACAGGTGGTGCAGATAAGTCTGTCAAGTTCTGGGATTTTGAGCTGGTGAAAGATGAAAACAGTACCCAGAAGAGGTGAGTAGACATTTTTTATTTTCCTCCATTTCTTGGACTGAAAGTGGGGACTCACTGAATGGACTTTCTTGAGTATTTCTGTTGAGCTCCAGAGTTTTTGGCATTTTCGTCTGCCTTTGTAAGGTACTCATTGTTTTTTTCTGGGTGATTTCTGTGATGCTAGGCTTTCTGTGAGGCAAACCCGAATCCTGCAGCTGGATGAAGACGTTCTGAGTGTCAGGTACTCACCCCATCAGAACCTGCTGGCTGTGTCTTTGCTTGACTGCACTGTGAAGATTTTCTATGTCGACACCTTAAAGGTACCGTGGTCATGCCTTCCTTGTTTTCTGACTGGCCTGGGTGAAGAGTGTAAAGAAGTGGCCTTGTGCTCAGCCAGTGTTGCTCAGTGGTTGAGTGTCAACCTATGAACCAGGAGGTCACGGCTCAATCCCAGTCAGGGCATATGCCTGGGTTGCAGGCTCGCACCCCAGTGGGGATGGGGGGTGTGTGCAGGAGGCAGCCTATCAGTGATTCTCATCATTGATGTTTATCTCTCTCTCTCCCTCTCCTTTTCTCTCTGAAATCAATAAAAAATATATTTTAAAAAGAAGAAGAAGTGGCCTTGACTGCCCAACAGGAGCATATTTCTAAAAACTTATATGTGGATCAAACATTGTAGGTGACCTGGGAAAGCCAGAGTTTTAAAAGAATCCTTTGGTTTATAACTTTTGTTTAAAGCAATTTATATTGCATATGTTCAGAAAATCCTGTCCTTTGCAGGAGTTTCAAGGGCATCGCAGGGTGTCCTGGGAAGGATTCCACACTTGGCTTTACAGTGGGTCTTTGTGTTGCTTTAACAATACAGTTTGCAGAGCCCTACCCACAGGGCTCCATCGAACCTGGAAATGGTGTGAAATAAGTGCCCAGGGTGTCCAGCTGAGAGATCCTGGGATCACCTCTGCTGGGCTAAGGGAGGCAGGAAGCTTCCGACCCTCCCGCTCCACGGGGCTGCCATGTCCTTGGCAAGGGCATGCTGGGTCTGAAGCAAGATGGGTGCAGGGTGCCGTCAACGGTTCGCTTTTGAGAATAAACACATAAGGCGACCCAGACAGCGTTAGCATTGTGTTTTGGAGTTATATTTTAGATTGACATGTACTAAATTATGCCTGTATTTTATAGACAAACATGAATTTTTTTTTCTTTTCTTTATGTGTAGTTTTTCCTCTCACTGTATGGTCACAAACTGCCTGTTATATGCATGGACATCTCTTATGTAAGTAAAGTTTAAATAGTATCTCAGTAACAAGCTATTTTTCTAAAGCATTTTCTTAGTTCTTGGCTTGATGGGTCATTTTAGAATATTTATTATTTCATTCTGTTGTATATCTTCCTCCACACCCAAAAGCAAACTAGTATATATTTTAATCATACTTCTTGTGTATATACGTTACTTTAATGCTTTCATAATACTTTCACAAATTCTTATAATTAGCTCCCTGTTGCAGATTCCTCAAATAATATTTTGTATAAAATACTATAATTGATAGAGCACCCTAACATATGGAAGATTTTAAAAAGGCACCCCCTCTGCTTTGTAAGCAGGTAAGGAAGATGGGCCTTAGCTTTCCATGTGGATATCCACTGTATTTTCCACTATGCAACCTTTTAGTCTCCACCAAAATCCTGTCTGCAATGTCTAGTTGTGATTGGGCATGGCAATATATACTTAAAAACATCCGGTCAGTATGAAAGGCGTGGGCCTGTGCTTGAGTGATCAGCACGTTAACAGAGCAAGTTGGTGCTGAAAAATATTCCCGATTTTCTTGTTACAGCCATTTGAACTAGGCATTGAAATAGAAAAAGGAGAGAAATATGAGAGGGAACGTGGGATAAAAGGCTAGGTGACAGCATTCTAGTAGATTCTTTCTTTCTCTCTCCCTCTCTTTGCCCATATTCTGTGGCAGATGATTCTTTTTCCTACTCACTTAACAGGTCAGTAGACAATCTTCATCAAGGCACAGCATGACCCTGTTGCTCTGCAGAAACATTGAAGCTTTTGCTTAACAAGCTTTTAAGTAGATTTGTGACAAAATACAAAATAGGTGCTCTTAGTAGAGAAATGGCTTTGATTTTCATGTTTTGGAGAGAATGGGTTAAATGTTCTGGTAGCTTGTCTTCTCTACTTTACAGAAAGTTGAATGATCAAGTTGAAGCCATGTGTTTCCTTTCTTCCTCATAGGACGGAACACTGATAGCAACCGGCTCTGCCGACAGGAATGTGAAAATCTGGGGTTTGGACTTCGGGGACTGTCACAAGTCTCTCTTCGCACACGATGACAGGTGGGCGCAGTCTTCAGAGACCTCCTTTTGTGTCACTGTACCATTTCCCTTAAGCATGCGTCTATATTTACTGTCTCAGATCATCATACATTTAAAATTCTCAAGTATAAATAAGGCACTAGAACTAGCTGTTCAAAAGCTATTGATGTATCGATATATAGACTTTTTAAAATATACATATATATTTTTTATTGATTTCAGAGAGGAAGGGAGAGGGAGAGAGAGAGATAGAAACATCAATAAGGAGAATCATTAATGGACTGCCTTATGCACGCCCCCTACTGGGGATCGAGCCTGCAACTCAGGCATGTGCCCTTAACTGGAATTGAACCCAGGACCCTTTAGTTCTCAGGCCAAGCCTATCCAGTGAGCCATACTAGCTAGGGCTGTAAGACTTTCAATAACATGGACTCGGATGACATTTGAATACTCTTCTCGCCTTTCAGTGTGATGTACCTACAGTTTGTCCCCAAGTCTCACCTCTTTTTCACCGCCGGGAAGGACCGGAAGATCAAGCAGTGGGACGCGGACAATTTTGAGCACATACAGACTCTGGAGGTAATCCCCTGCATGCCTGCTCCCCTAATGTGAGCAGGTAGCAGTCTGTGAATAACATCCTGACTCCGGTCTGGGTTTGTTTTTCCTCTCTGCAGGGGCACCACCAGGAGATATGGTGCTTGGCTGTAAGCCCCAATGGAGACTACGTCGTGTCATCGTCCCATGACAAATCTCTGAGACTTTGGGAGAGAACAAGGGAGCCTCTTATTCTTGAGGAGGAGAGGGAAATGGTAAGGACTTAGGCCTGGTTACAGTGTCCCCATCCCAGTTCTCTGTCTGGTGCAGTTGCCCCTCGGGCAGTGCAAGTCCAAGGACCGCCCGAGATGGGGGAGTTCCCAAGACGACTGCCACCGCTCAGCAGCCAGGCAGAGACGAAGCCACAGTGATGGGCCTTAAAGCAGCAGCCCCTCACTGTCCCCTCATTTCACTTTGCAGAGAGACCGTGCTTTTCCTTCACATTAATTTCTCTCTGTCTCTTGCAGCAAAGGGAAGCAGAATATGAGGAGAGTGTGGCCAAAGAAGACCAACCAGCAGTAAGTAAACTTGGGATCCTGGGATTTTGCCTATAATTATCTTACTGGAATTTAACCTAATTTCAAGAAATTCTGAGGGAATTAGAATTGGGGCCAGATGCTGAGGCCATCACCAGCTAAGGTAAGACAGACTCTGAGTAGTCCTTTAAGTCAACTCTATTCTGGCTTTTTTAAGGAGACTTCAGGGAATTATCTCACTATAGATCAAAAATTAAAATCGGGGAAAATTGAGAAATTGAGAAAAAAATTTTAAAACATTTGTGGAGAGGAAGATATTCTTATAGTCCATGTAAAATACTCATCATGGTGTCCAGCCCTGTCTCAGTCCTCAGTGAGTGGCAGCTGATGACCAGTGTTGTTGTTATGAAACCATGATGCCTGTTCTTTTAGGGATAGTAGGGTAACTTACTGTCTCTTTAATGCTTGTCAGCAATGTTATTCAAGGATCTCTTTGTTTTCTGGCAGGTTCCAGGGGAGACTCAAGGAGAAAATTACTTTACTGGAAAGAAAACTATTGAAACAGTCAAAGCCGTAAGTTGATACAGAATGCAGTACCTCATTTTTTCATAGGATCTAGACTTTGTAGTAAAAGTCTTTATCAACCAAATAGTCTTTTGTGGGGGAGGGAAATGAATAAAGATTTGATTAAATTTATAGGGAGATCAAAACTTGTTTGCTTTCTAGAAAGAAAGTGTGGTCTCCTGAAAATAGCGTCTTTCAGCCGTCCCTGGGAGCTGCCCTACCCAGGTGTCCAGCTCCATTCTTACCAGAGTCCAGAACGCTCAGGCCCTCCCTAGAAATAAAAAGAACCAGAGATGCCTTTCCATGCAGTTTGCCACTCAGTTGGCACATCTTTATTAAACCGGGCAGGCCCTCCAGGTGCAGTGCTCTGGTCAAGGAGTGGGTCCTGGTGACTTCTGACGTCCATGGTGAGTGTGTCCTTTGTCCTCATGTCTGTAGGCTGAGAGGATCATGGAGGCTGTGGAACTATACCGAGAAGAAAGTGCAAAAATGAAAGAACACAAAGCCATTTGTAAAGCTGCAGGGAAAGAGGTAAGATGCCCACTACGTTACGCTCTGGGAGACACTTGTAGGTAGAGAATTCTTGAGAGGAAAACCATTATTCGGGACTTAATAACTCAGGTTAGAAATGAGAGAAATGTATAGAATTCATTCTCACTCAAACATTAGAGCCAATTGAGGAAGGGACGGTGGGGGAAGCTTGGTCTTAATGGAAAGGAGAGCGAAGTGAGATGTGGTATTGGGTAGACACTCACCTCTTACTCTGGTTCAGAGCCAGGGCACGATTTCTGGGAAACCTGTTACCCAAACTCACTCGTAAGCTCTATCGAAACTGAGAGGCCTGATGCTTCATTACACTGAGTCTTTCAATTTTTAGGGTCGCTGTTTTCTCTTCTAGAAATGTAAATACAATACTATTATCTCCCTGCCTGCAACAAGCACCATCAAAGTCTCATTTTTAATGACTGGATTTAATTATTTTCTTCTTAGGTTCCTCTCCCCACCAACCCCATCCTGATGGCTTACGGCAATATTTCTGTGAGTACAGCATCTAAGTCTCCCCTTGGTCAGTTAGAGGTTACTCTCAGGGGTGAGGGGAGGGGTAATACTTGGTTGTTAAAAATCTCTCCTGAAGAGTGGTCTCCTCTATTATTTAGAATTTGTAAAGGACCGGTTTAGTGTAACTTCCAGGTCATCCTTTTTGGTTGGACTGGCATTCTTCAGATTTCTAGTTCTTATTCATATTTCCTGTCCAAAGCCCTCTGAAGATTCTGTTCATCTAAATCAGTGGTCAGCGAACTGCAGCTCGGGAGCCACATGCGGCTCTTTGGCCCCTTGAGCTTTTAGCAAAGACCAGCTTAGGAGTACCCTAATTAATTTAATAACAATGTACCTACCTATATAGTTTAAGTTTAAAAAGTTTGGCTCTCAAAAGGAATTTCAGTTGTACTATTGATATTTTGCTCTGTTGACTAATGAGTTTGCTAACCACTGATATAAATGAACTTCGAAATTAAAGGTGTAGGAGGAAAAGTTGGCATAAATCAGATATAGGAGAGAGGGAAAGAAATGCGCAGTGCAAGCTACCAACAATGTCTAGTTCCTTAGAATTTGACTTGCGTGTCTCCTTCCTCACAACAATCCTGTGGGTCAGGGCACTTTCCTTTTACAGACAGGAAACTGGCCTGACTTTGACTAACACTCGGTCCATGCATGTCTTGCCATTTCAGTACACTGTCTCATGAGAGAGGATCCTGGGTTTTAGGGAAATGAGATTCAGTAGAATCCCGCAGGACTGTCGCTAATGCTTTGTCCTTCCTTTGCAGCCTTCAGCTTACGTGTTGGAGATTTTTAAAGGAATCAAGTCAAGGTGCGTCTCAGGGCACAGTTATTATCACTGCTCAGCTAAGGAGAAATTACAGTTGATGGTTAACTGTCAAAATTTTGATGGGAGTAAATTTACTGTAATCTTTTTGAAGTAGAGGTAATGCTCTACTTTTAAGGATAAATGAAGGGTAGTATTACTTTATATTGTAGGTAATTAAATCATCTATTTCAAACATGGGCCGCATGCCTCATATTTTGGCCTGTGATAGCCTTTGAATTTGACATGCTTGATCTGTATAATTCAGTTGCAGCAGCAGTTAACATTTTTTTGTAGTGTGTTTCTTTCCTGTGCATATAAATAGTTAGAACCATCTTGCATACAATTTTGTATCCTGTCCTTTTTCACAGAATATTGAGTGTTTACCAATATTCTTCAAAAACAAATCATTGATTTAGTTCGAAATATTCCATTATACAAATAATTACTACTGAAGTTTGCTATTATCAATTTGCTTCAGTGAACACCTTTACATAGAAATCTGTCTTAATTTTTATCTCCTGATTATTGAAAATGTTATTTTTGTTAGAAATTATTAAAAACTAGTAAGGGCTATGTCTTTTGTTGTCTATTTTTGGAAGTTTATTTGTAATTTCCCTTTTAATTTTATTTGTGAGCTTGAGCGACAATGTCTAAATGTGTCCCATACAAGTAGTAAACAGGAGCCACCTGGGTAAGGGGAGCCTGCACTAGAGACATGTAGCGGGAGCTCAGATCCCTCGAGAGGCAGTGCAGTCCCAGGCGGGAAGAGGCTGTGTTTTCAAGGTTTTGTTTTAACTTACAGTTTTGTGATTCCACTTTAAATCCTCTTGGACTAATGCTAGAATTAGTTCAAGAAAGGTAAAGCAAATGAAGCCAGAGCAGCAAGGGGGAGCTATTTCCCTAGATTTAAAAACAAAACAAAAAAAAACCCTGTAAATTGGCAAAAATTGAAATAGTACAGGGTTGTTGTCAGGATCAATTGATCATCAAAACAGACTCAGAGGGCCTCAAACTAAAGGACTCAATAAATGGTAAGAGAAGTGTCATAAAAAGATGGAATAGTCAACAATAGGCTTTGGAGAAATTGGTTTCTAGGAGAATAAAAAGTTAGATTCTCCCACCGTGTCGTGGACCAAAGTGCATCCAAAAGGTTAAACTATTAAATATAAAAAACAAAACCTTGAAAAAAGAGAACCGTCTAGAATATTGAATTTAAATAGGTAAGGTCTATTAAATAAAAGCAGTAGAAAAACATAGGCGAGGAATGATTTCAGATGGCTGCACTCAGGAATGTGACGCTTCCTTCCTCAGTGAGCTGGAGGAGTCGCTCCTGGTGCTGCCCTTCTCCTACGTCCCCGACATCCTGAAACTCTTCAACGAGTTCATCCAGTTGGGCTCTGATGTTGAACTTCTGTGCAGGTGCCTCCTCTTCCTCCTCAGGTAACTCCCTTTCCAGGGCAGACCCTGTCTGCTCAGCACAGCTGCTCCAGTAGACCTTACCTAAAGCTGTCACCACCTCTGGGTGAAGAACCTGGATGTTTTGGTTTCAGGGACTGTTACAGAACCTCAGTGCTACCTGGTGTGAATTACTCCTTGTCCTTGGGAATAGTCAGAACCAGTTTGCCCTTAAAACAAGTGCTTTAGGAGGTTAACGCTGCTCAGAATGCTTCGTCAGGCTGCAGTCCAACAGCCTGGGTCTAATCAGTTTGCCTCATTGAAGTCAGTGGTCGGCAAACTGCAATTTGTGAGCCACATGTGGCTCTTTGGCCCCTTGAGTGTGGCTCTTCCACAAAATACCAGTGTAGGCGCGCGTGTACAGTGCAATTGAAACTTTGTGGCCCATGTGCAGAAGCTGGTTTTGGGTTCTCAAAAGAAATGTCAATCGTTGAACTGTTGACTAATGAGTTTGCCGACCACTGGTTAAACTTAATGGTTTTGTCTTGTCCTCCTACAGCCTTTTCAGGAATAATGGGTTTATTTTCCAGGTCTGTATAGGTACAGATGCAAAAGAATCACATACATAAAGGAAACTAAATTGGAAAATATGGTCATTAGTTTATATTCTCAAATATGAGGAATTATTTTTCATGAGTAATTGAGAGGACTGTTTACAAAGGCTTAAGAATGTATTATTCTGTCTCCTACTCTGCCCCTCTGTTTCGAACTGTTAGGATAGAGAACATGGAGGGAGACAAATTGGATATTCCTTAAAATGCTGTTAGGAGGACAAAAACTGGTCAGCCAATACCAAGTATAATAGTTCAAGGAAACAGGTATGTTTAGTGAAGTTGGTGAATTGGCCTGTTTTCATGATTCTTAGCCCTCCATTCTTTTTCTATTTGGATACTGGGGAAAGAAGAATATATTTACATTATTCTGTTGTCATATTTAGAATTTGGGGCAAGTTGTAAGGACTCAACAGTATTTCTAATAATGTCTTGTTGCTGTGGCGGATGTGCTGAGGAATCAGGATTACTCTTTCTGAAAGAAACACCCTGAATGCCAGCCATACCCCAGGTTGTAGGTGGGTACCACTTACCTCCCAGGTGGAGATGGCAGGTCACAGTTGAAGGTGCGGGCGAGTGTGCTCATCAAGGGTGTCCGGGTTTCAGGCCTGAGTTTGAACCTGTGAGAGGGTCTGGGACCGAGTCTTCAAATTGTTATCAGATAGAACTGAATAGTAGGGAAGAAATTCCTTTCACTTTTTTACTAGAAACGTCTCTATATTCCCATGATGCCGTGAAAAGTGTGTTTGCTTTGCTGTTGTGTCAATTTGCTATTTGTGGAAGGGGTAAGTAGAGCCAGCCCACTATCCCTCTTCAAAGTATGGTTGTTTTCTTCCTCTGTTAGGATTCACTTTGGGCAGATCACTAGCAACCAAATGCTTGTGCCAGTGATTGAGAAATTAAAGGAGACAACTATTTCAAAAGTCAGCCAAGTCCGGGTAAGTGTGTCTGTGGAGCTCCAGCAGCGAGGGGGCGGCTCTGGGTGTGACTTAGAAGTGGCCCCGGGCGCTGTGCCTGTCCAGGGCGGTATTGCGCAGACGTGGTCTGTATTTGGGGTTAGCTTGGCGGGGGAGCTGGTAGGAATAGGAAAACGAGGTCTGAGGCTCGCTGGTCCCTGGCTCACATGCTGATACCGAAGGTGCTGAGCTCAGGGGAGACAAGTCTCACCATTCTCGTCTTCCGCCCAGGATGTCATCGGCTTCAACCTGGCGGGTCTGAACTTCCTCAAGAGGGAGTGCGAGGCAAAAAGTGAAGTGATGTTTTTCGCTGATGCAACCAGCCACTTGGAAGAGAAGAAGAGGAAGAGGAAAAAGAGGGAGAAGCTGATTTTAACACTCACCTAGAACTGAAATGTGGTGCTTTTTCTACTTTTTAAAAAGGACTTTGAAACTAAGCAGCACTAGAGGCCAAATCAACTTACAGGAGCCAAACAGCTTACCGCGCTGCCAAGGATCCCAGGATATGGCCCTGCTTTGCCTGTGGGCTCCAGTTCTTGGCCGATGAGCAGTTTGAAATCTTCTGTGCCTCGAAGGTTGGGCCTTTCAGGAGTTGCTCCCTTATATTCTAGCAGAAAGCAAAGACATTTTGTAACTAGGTGTGTGTTTCCCTAGAGTTGAAATTAACATTTCAAGAGTATCTTACTTCTGCCCCGGCAGATTTGTGCACAGTTGAATGTCCTCTGCCCACCAATGCAGAGTCGTGGGGAGCTGAAAGGACCGTGGAAACGATCTAGAACAGCCTCCTTAACACATTGCAGACCAGAAGTTTTATTGGTAGCTTTACCCAGTGGCCAGATGAGTTACAATACATTTTACATAACTGTTAAATGCTCACTTTAAAATTAAATACCCATTGCATTTTGAAGTTAATTATTACATGTTCTTACAAGCTAATATCTTTTTAAAGAATTCATGTGACCCGTCTGCAATGTGTTAAACTGCTAATTGTGCTAATTGTTTATCCTTCTCTTAATAAACTAGTTGTTTCTAACTAAAGTGCAGTCGCGCTGAGACGCCTGGCCGGCTTCTGGGTGATCAGTGCCCTGTATGTATAATGTGTGTCTCCATGCCAGGGAGTTGGGGCTTAGGGAAAGAAATTGACAAATGGCCTTTCATCAGAGCTTCGACCTGTTTGAACTCTGGAGTCACAGAAGTAGATTTTACTCTTCTTTTGGGAATGGGGATTTCTCATTTGCCCTGATTATTGACTGTTGGACTTAAACAGATGCCTTATGCAGCCTGCTTAGGCAGGTGACTAGACAGGAAGATGGAGACCGCTGCAGCGAGCGCTGGCGTCAGGAGGCTGGGATGGGCGTGGATCTGTTTCTAGTGAGAAAATTCTGGTTTCCCCACGGAGCGTGTGCATAAATGTCAGTCATCTGGTCAACTTTGCATTTTTATTCAAATGTTATCTCTTCGAGAAACATACTATCATTTATGTGGCAGTGTCCCTGCTTTAATATGTACCTAAGTTGTGTCATTTACATGTTTCATCTTTAAAAAACCATTCAGAGAGGTTGTATTTATATTCCCAAGGCTGGAAAACATGGGAATTGCCCAGTTTTCTAACTTTCTACTGGAGGAATATGTGTAAGTAGAAAGTTCATAACTACTTACAAATATATGTATATATATTGTGTGTATATATATGGTGAGTAAGAGCTGCATATTGATTTTTATATCAGAATATTTTATAATGTAATATTAATTTATAGACAACTGCCTCTCCCTGCATTTGAAGAGCAGGTTTCCATTTATATGTATTTTGGGGGGGTTAAAAAAATAATGAAACTTGTAAAAATAGTGCCATAAAGTTGCTTTGATAATTCAAGATCATTTGTATTTCTATGTTTATGCTGATTAAATCAGAGAAACATCGATCAGCTGCCTCCTGGGCACACCTGATGGGATTGAACCCAAAACCTCAATATGTGCCTGACCAGGAATTGAACCAGCGACCTTTCGGTGCATGGGTCAACACTCAACAAGCTGAGCCACACAAGCCATGGCCATGTAAATTTTAGAATTAGCTTATAAATACCAAATACCTGCTGAAATTTTGAATTGTATTAGGACTTTTGATCAATTTTGAAAGTATTGACATCTAAACCATATTGAGTCTTCCAATCCACAAGAAGTTTTACCTATTTAGTTCTTTAATTTATCAAAGTAGTATTTTGTGATTTTCATGTACGGATAAGAATGCATTATTAAAATTGGTCAAAATACATAAATTATCAAAAAGCCCTTGAAAAGATGCTTACCTCAGTCCTCAGGGAAACAGGAATACTACAGTGAGTTACATTCCATGCTCATTACCATGGCTAAGATAACCTGAAAGTCCACATATGCTGAGGATGTGAAGCAATTAGAGGTCTCCTCCACTTATGGTATGAACAATGGTACAAGCACTTTGAAAAGCTAAATCACAAACTTACTGGCCCTTCTACTCACAATATGCTCACATAACAATCTGTAATTGAATATCAATAATAGCCAAAACCTGGAAACTACTCAGATGTCTATTAAAAGATAGGTCGGTCTCTCTCTCTCTCTCTCTCTCTCTCTCTATATATATATATATATATATATATATATATATTGCACAACACATCCATATGAAGAAATGCTACTCAGCAATAAGACGGTATGAAGTGTTGATATAGAGTATGGATGAATAATATGTGTGTAGTAAGATGGATGGATTGTAAAATCATGCTATGGAAGAATCCTCTAACTACAGCCCCTAGTAGAAAGGTAACATACCAAAGACACTGTACTTAGGTAACACAGACCAGTTTTGTCAGCGAGGACATCAAAAATGCCCTGGCAGGTTGCTCAGTGGTTAGTCAGCCCGTGGATCCCGATTCCTGGTCAAGAGCATATACCTAGGTTGCAGGTTCCTGGCCCCTGTCCAGGTGTGTGCATAAGGCAACCAATCAATGTGGGTGTCTCTGCCTCCTGTCTCCCACTCTCCCTAAAGCCAGTGGAAAAAATAACCTCAGATGGATTAAAAATCATGCTACATGAGGAAATGCAGACATGAGAGGGTACAATTCCATTTATATAAAGTAACAAATGCAAACCCATCTAGAATGAGCAGGCACTGTGAGGACCCTGAGGTGAGGAAATGGGGTTCGGGGTGGGGGAGGGAACAGGGTGGCAGGCTTTGAGTAGGTTGGGGTATGATGTTCTGTGGGGATCGGGAGGGTGTGGTTGGTGTGAGGGTCAAGGGGTAAAATAAAAGGCAGGTGTGAATAATTATCCTGGTCCCATCAATGTTAAGTCACTGTCCTGCCCCTCACCCCTCTCCCCACTTCAGCTGGAGTCCCACGAAAAGCAGAGGAGCCTTGACATCCTGCAGGGTTTCCCAAAGTGGGGTACGCGTACCCCCAGGGATATGGGAAGAGTTTGGTGGGGGTACGCGTTGCACCAGAGTTTGGTGGGGATATGCACTGCACCGTGCTTAGCTGCGCCTAATTCTACGTTCTCATGAGTACAAGGGTACTCAGTGTTTCAAAAATTATAGAAGGGGTACACATATGTCAAAAGTTTGGGAAACACTGCTAGAGGATAGAACCCGTGCTCTCCTCTCTCTGAGCCACAGGGAGCTACTATTTGGAGGCCTCTGGGGAAGCCGGGCAGAAAGGCTGCACACCCTCACTTCCAAGGTGAAACTGAGACCTTCCTTCGTAGCTGGTTTTCAGATCTAGGCAGTCTGGTTCTGTGCTGCTTCCTCTGAACCGTCCTGGTTTCTGCTGGGCCAGGGTGGTCTGTGGGGGAGCAGGCCCTGCCCCAGGGCCAGGTGTGTGCCTGGCTCCGTGTTTCTCTCAGGCCTCCCCGTGACCTCCCTGTGGGGACAGGGGGCCATCCCGGCTCTGGGCGGCTTTCCCTTTCCCGGCTCAGCTGGGGGCTTATGTCAAGTGAACCTCAGGCCGTCCAGTGGCCTGTGACCTGCTACAAAGGTCAGCCCGCTCGAGAGCTTTGCAAAATTCACATGTTGGGGGGAGGCTCTTTGGTCTCATTAGCTCATGGGACCCCCACCTTCACTCCTATTGACCTGGCTCCTGTCTGAGTAGAAACTTTTATTTTTTTTACACGAAGGCACAGGCGAAAGCTCTAGGCTTCACACACGGAGGGCACAGGCAGGGAGAGGTGTGAGTGCAGAACTGCCAAGTAGCACAAGCCCTGAATGTTTCCTGGTTCTACAAAAGCCAAACTCGCACTTTCACATTTGTAAAGTGCTTTAGCGTTTTAATGATTGTTGACAGCTGTGGTCTGACCTTTTTGTGCTCCCAGCTGCTGGGGAGACTGGCCGTTGTGATTTATATAATGAAACGAGGACACTGAAAATGCGAACGCGTGTTGGAACACTTAAGGCCAGCCTGGAAGGGCCGCACATGTCCTCGCTGACACAGCTGGTTTTGTCCCATCCTTAGGGTGTCCTCGGCGTGTTAAGTGTCCTGTGGGGCTGTGGTTAGAGGACTCCGGTGTAGATGTCAGTTCCCTGGGCTGACCCCCTCCCCCGGATTAGCTTCTAGAAGTCAGCGTGGTGGGAAGCAGCCTTGTTTTCTCACTCCTGATGGGTACCCTGTGCTTTTCACGGATAAAACAACCACATAGTTGTTCTTATAATTCAGCAAACGTTCTGGGACTGCCGGTCATTTATAGTTGATTAGTTGTAGTCTAGCAAAGAACACACAACCTAAAATCTATGAGGCTCAGTGAAAGTCCTGAAAGGGACGTTCATCACATGACAGGTCTACCTCAAGAAACAAGAAAAGTCTCCCAACAATCTAACCCTACACCTAAAAGAACCAGAAACAGAACAAGCCCTGAGAGTCGGAGGAAGGAAATATTAGAGCAGAAATGAATGACATACATTATTGGCAGGTGACATGATACTGTAGATAGAAAGCCCTAAAGAAACCATCAAAAAACTATTAAACTTAATAAATGAATTTGGCAATGTAGCAGGATACAAAATTAACACCCAGAAATCTGTGGCTTTTTTTATACACCAATAATGAACTTAAAGAGAAGTTAAAAAAGCAATCCCATTTACCATTGCAACAAAAAAAATTAAGTTACCTAGGAATAAACTAAGGAGGCGAAAGACTCAGAAAACTACAGGACGTTGAAAAAAAAAAGAGCATTATGCTAAACGAAATAAGTCAGAGAAAGACAAATATCACATGATCTCACTCATTATGGAAAATAATGAACAACATAAACTGATGAACAAAAACAGATCCAGAGACAGAGAAGCATCGATTAGATGCTCAAACCTCAGAGGGAAAGAAGGGGAGGGTGTGTAATGCCCAAGTGTCATAAACCCCAAAGACTACCAGGGAGCCGAATCTGATGCAATTGC